GAAAATGGGAAACAGTTGAAAGACAACAGGCAAATCTACTTAAATATCCCAGCGAATAGTAAGCCTTTCTTTGCTGTTTCATTCTTTGTGAATTATTCGTTTGCCCCTTTTTGTGGGGCTCCTCTTTCCCCCTCTGTTGGGATTCACTTTGTGCCTTGGTTAAGTCCGTTTTGTGTTTTGTTCGCTCTGAGTCCTTCGTCCTTCCCCCGAATGGAACATTATGCAAGTTATTTTCGCAACCTTGTGGAAAAATATGAAATCAGCGAAATATATTTATGACTTATTTTGTCCACAGGACAAAGGACCCGCCCACAGAGAAAAACATAGAAACCACGAAAAGGCCAGGACTAAAGTAAATGAACGTTGGCACAGTATAGCTAAGTAAAACAAGAAGTAAAATAAGTAACCGCATTTACAGACTCTGAAATGGAAATTAGCTAGGATTTTTGGGATCAACACTAAAATATCGAATTGTAAGTATTTTAAGGAATTAAAATTGTACATTTTACTAATAAACACTATTTTATTTAAATAAATCTCATCTAAAAAGTCGTAATATAAACATTGTCTATTACATAGCAACTAATATTCAGAAGAACACAAGATTATCTTTTGCGTCCATTTAAAAACTGTGTCAGTTGCAAGTGGTTTCCCAACATTTACTTTTTGGCAAACAAAACGATTTATACCCATGTTTACTTACGACATTTTTACAATAGATATGTATACTCTATTTATTGGATAGAGGGCTTCATTTGATTAATAGTAACAAAAACAGAAAAAAATAGTTTAATTAAAAAAAAAAATCATTAGCTTTTTATTTAGTTTCATATTTGTCAATATAATATTTATTATCGCTTTTAATATTTTTAAGAATATATCATATCATACATTATATCATAAAAGGGTGTTTAATTTGATTCATAGTAACAAAAAAACACAGATATTTTATTATTAAAAATTTCCTTAGTTTTGTATTCAGTTTCATATTTGTAAATATAATATTTAATATTGATTTTATTATTTTTTAGTATATCATATTCGTTTTTCAGAGGGAATCCAAATGCTTCATTTTATTTTTCGATTGTTTATACGGCCTCTTTATGAGTGGGGTGCCTGTATATAAATTTTTTCAATCATGTACTGATAGACATTTGTTTTTAACCCCTCTTCCCTTCTGTGGTGGTTTTTTGCTGCTTCAGAAGCTGCCATATAGTTTAAAGTGTTGTAAATATTTGTGTTACAACAATGTTTGCACATGGTTTGAAATTCGCAACCATTTTTTGTGAAGCTTTACGCCACTTTTTTTCGTCTCTCTCGTGGAGGCAATGATTTAGGTATTTTTCGTAGGTTTATTTATTATTTTATAGCTGGATTGTGACGTGGATTTAGTGGGCGATATTTTGTTTAGCCCGTTAAACAAATATTTGACGAGAAGCGCGCGGCTGAATCGTACAAAAGTAATTGCTCTCGATGGCACATGGAATATTTACGAATCGAAATGTCAAACTTAAAGCCAGAGCGCTCGTAGTTTAATTTCATTGGAAACTGCGCAGCAGAAGGCGACTCCTTGGCCCGGCCTAATTGAATTTTCACTAATCCAATAGATTAAGAGGCAGCAGCAAGAGTTGCTCCGCAGTTGCTTGTAATGCAATGCAGGAACAATAACAAAATTATGCTGGCCAACAGAAGGAGGAGCCGTTGACAGGGCTAAGAGCATCCTTGGAGATTCGCAGGATGACCTCAAAAGTGCAAGGCAAGTTGGGAAAACAGCCGACACTTCGTCCCCAAGAAATGGCTTAGTTTTCCCTTGCCCCCAAAAGTCTCTCTTTGTTTGCTCTATTTTTTCATTACACGAATTTAATTAGCTGCGAAAGAGACTCGCTGTTGCCATAGCGAATTTAAATCATGCATAAATTAGGTAATTTTGCATTCTTCCGCACACATCCGCATTTGCTTAGCGGCACTTCAGGCGCCATAACTAATTATATGTTGACATGACATTTATTTGACTTGCATAAATTAGTCAATTAGTTGATGAGCGTTAATTAAGTTTTTGGAAAAGCGCTGGGCAAGGGTGTTGGGCGGAGGGGTTTTGTGGAATATTCGGGTTCATTGAAACCGCGAAGCACAATTCCTAGTTCAAGCAATCAGAATTAAAAGGTTTTTTTATTTTATCATTTACCAAGAATTGTAATTAATTGATTTCTTTTAATTATTTTAAATTGATATTCAAGTTATACAAGTAGAATCCTTAAACTCTTCGTTCATATCATTCTAACAGCAATCGATCTCACCTTTTCCACTTTATTCACAGCTGAGTCAAGTCTCTCACTTGACCATTTGGCAGTGGCTGCTCCTTGGCCCAAATGCTGTCAGCAGCTGGACGAATCCTTGAAGCGCATGAAAAGTGAGAAGGAGGTCCTGGGGAGGACTTGATGTTAGTAGATGGTGTGCTCGTCGTACATTTTATCGCCTGCACTCAACGAAAAGGTGAATGACGATGGACGTACCAAATTTTCGACACATTGTGGCTTCCATTTTTGTATGAGTGTCAGTGTGAGTGTCAGTTGGGCTGTTTCTGTGTCTGCGTCGAGGGCGAGTTGCACATGGCGTATACGCAATAAAAGAGCGACACTCAAAGCCGTGGTTGAACGAGGGGCTTCCCCCGACCCAATGCTTGTCATCATTAGATTAGAGTGCAGCAAGCCCAGCGGAAGAGAGAATGAGGTGGATGAGAAACATGGAGGGAGTGTGCACATAGAGAAATTAGGTGAAAATAAAATATGGATAAATAATGGATAATGAATAAATAAAATATGGAGTTTAATATTTTAATTAGTTTGTAAGCCTACACGTTAGTAATGTTTTTTAATAATACTTGAAAAATTATTCAGTGGTTACACTATAAAAGGCCCAGGTTCAACTCTTATTCCTTAAAATTGAAATCAACATACAATTTGTTTCAATTATGTAATACAATAAAAATTTTGATTTTACTTTCACAAATTTTATTCCGTCTGGACTAATGTCACAGTCAATGTCAAAATTATTTTCTTCATTTGACTAGAGAAGAAGAATGTTTTGTTGTGTGGTACTCAAGAACGTTAAATTTAAAAATCGGAGCCCCACATTTTCCTTTTAAACAGGATTTGGCATTTTACCTACAACTTTATCCTTGTTATATTTGAAAATATTCTTGGAATACTCTTTTTTTAACTATAACTATATTTAACTATAAATTTTAATTTTTTTTGAGTGTGTGAAATTCATGCACACATCGAGGAATGGAGAGAAAAATTAAACTATGGGGCGTTGCCTTGTTAGGATGTGCGTTAAATTGTAAAACACAAGAGGGGGTATGTGCCGTGGAGTTTTTCGGGGGAGGGGCTGTGGAACTGTGGGTTTGGGGTCCTGCCAACTGCGCCCAGCTGGCCAGTGTTATCCTGCCTGTCATGCTGTGGCCAGTTCTCGTTTATTTTGCGTATTAGACGCTGCTATTTTGTGCTTATTGTCGCCATGCCACCTCTATAACTCCCTCTCTCTCACGCTCTCTCTCTTTCTGTCTCTGCCTCTATCTCTCTCTGTCTGGCATCCATGTCCTGCCGTGTCCTGTTATTTTTCGCTTGTTTGGTTTCTTCGGTGTGCCATTGTCAGCTCATTTGTAATTTTTGGCACAACGATTTCAAATTAAGCAACCGGAAATGAGCTGACATTTTGTATTCTGTTTCTGTTTCGCTCGCATTCGGTGGCTGGCAGCTTAACGGCACTTTTGCGGTTATTCGTCAGGATCTGGTTGTGGATGTGGATCGGGATCGGGATCAGGAACCATAGGGGCAATCACCATGGCATCGTCGTGGCCGTCATCGTTATCCTTCCCGGACACCGAATTCCCACCCCACCAGCAGTTCTGCCTTTCAACTTGTCTTGTCTATTATGACAATATTAATATTTACATTTTACAGTTATTGTCTAGCCAGAGCATTTCCCACACAGCACATCCCGCACTACAGATATTTGTATATACATATATATACACATGGATTCATGTTCACATGTATCCTTTTTGTTTTGTATGCTGCCACTACTGCTTGTCATGTTTGCTGCCTCGTATGCATTTGGTATTTTCTTGTTTATTGCTTTATGTTTCAACCGCTGCTGTTCTGCAGTTTTCTCCATGGATATACGTACTGCATCTTGTCAATATGGTTTCCATTCTGCATGTTGTGCATTAGTTCCGTTCGTTGTTGACCACTTTAGTCGCTGTCTCCCAAGATTCTCTCTTTAGTTTCTTATTTTCCTGAATGCCGTTTCATTTAGGGTTTATTTAAAGTTTGGTTCCTTACAAGTTGTTTGCAGAGGAGCTCTGAAATGTAATATTTACAAATATCTGTGAGTTTTTTAAAAATAAATATCAGAGTAAGAAGACAAATTAAAAAAAAATAGAAGAAAATGATATTCTTAGACAGAATCTACCATAAATGATGAGTTAATAAGACATCGGTAAAATGAAAAAGATTTATTAAATGGTAACGTTTCAAAGTTAAAATAGCCTTCTTACTTTGAACCACTTTGCCATGTAGACCTTACACAGTATTTTAAAATTAAAATCCCTGTTTGGCATAAAAGTCCCTTCGCAGCACTGTTAAATCAAAAAACAACCCACTTTTCGAACTTGAAAGCTTTCTCATCGAAGGGAAATTTAAACACAATCTCTTACTCGCTCTTGGGGGTTATATCCGAGGCTCTCTAGAATTTCCCTGGCCAAAACAAGGGCTTCGGCTCGCGTTTCGTCAAGTGCCGAGGGACCCAGCTCTTTGGCCGCTTCTCTCGCCGCCAGGACACGATTACATCCGAATTCCTTCGATTCCAGCTTCTACTTAACAGCTCGGCATCGGGTCCTTCAGCAGCAGCTGCTGTTGTTGGGATTCCGATTCCGAATCCGTCGACGGCCGACAGCTTCCTGCCGCTGATGCTTCAGTTACGTTGATAATGTCAAATCGTTTGGTTCGCTCTGCTGTTGCCACTTTTCACCGCCCACGAGTACAACCACAACAAAGCTGCCAAATACGAGGGCCGACGAGCCAATAAATTTAAATAATATCCCCATCACAACAAAGAATAAACAGCAGCTTAACGAGACGACAAAAAGAGAGAATCAAATAAAAAATATTACCAAAGAAATTGCAACTCGGTGGACAAACAAATGCCGGCTAAAAAAAGTGTCAGAATTTGTGAAAATTAATATTTCACCAGAGATTTGAGTGCTGGCAAAACAAACAAAAACAAAAAAAAACAGCACTGCCAACAGGACAAACTTTTCGTTTCGCCAAACTTTTATTTCGTACACACGATTTGCTCGCGAAAATTATGAAAAATATGTGAGAAATGTGCAAAATCCACGAAAAAATTCTCGAGTCGGGGCGAAGAGCATAGGTCAAGCCCTATCCTCTAGTGTGAGATATATATTCTGGTCGGTCCCCGAAATCCCCTGACGTTGCTCTTTCAGCCCAGAAAAACCCAGTGAACCGCCCACCGCCCATCTAGTGCCATGTGTATGTGCAGAGGAAAAAGCAGTGCGAATGTGTGTGAGAAGCCGTGTAACATGCTAAAATAAGTTAATTTATTGCCGGCACAACAATCACAACAAAACGCATACAAAGACAACAACTGCCGGCAGTCATAACATTTGCCTTGTTCACCAGTTACCCAAAGGTGAGTTACTTTCGGTTGAGAGTTCCGACTGGGTGATGATGATATCTATATCTGTGTCTCTGATTTTACTTCGTACTTTTACCGGGGGCTCTTAAAATATAATTTACGGTCGTAGAGGTGCTGCTTGCTTCGGGGGTTTTTGCACAAACAGGCTCGTTTTTAGCATAAAATATATTATTTGTGTCTTTCAATATTCTGATAACAAGAGTATCTAAACTAGGTTACAGCAATTTTGTTTACCTTTATTGTAAACCTATAAAAATGAAAAGACAATAATTTATCAATTGCCGAAAAAAATTATAAGGCAAGTTCTTTTTTAAAATTAAAAGAAATCTAATTTCACAAAGGTGTGCTGACATTACTAAGATTCTATTAAGTGCCGATTTTTGCGTTCATAAAAGCATGTTAGTTTCGTAAAAATTGACTGACAAATTGATATATTAACAACATAAAATAACATAAATATAACAGTATATTTAACAAGATTAAATGAATTTGCGATTAAAAAACATTTTTGATCTTGTCAAATGTTTAAAGTTTCAAAAAGTAATCGCTATAAATATTTTAATTAGAAATAACCAATGCGTTATGTATAAACTGATCATCATTAGACGGATAATTAGAATTACAAGAGGCAATCCTTTTTAGCAATTCGACAAAGTGTTTTCATCGCCCATAATAATAAAAGCTTCGTAATTCATTTTATATGCCAAGGTAAAGATTCTTACGAAAAAAAATAATTATTAACTTTATTAATTAATAACTTATTAACTGAGTCAGCAGTTTTAAGTAAATATTACTACATCTTAAAGGGATTTTGATCAGACAAATTCTAATTAAAAGAGATCTGGTGAAATTTTGGACAGGTTCATAAAGAGCAGGGTTTGTACACCCAGAAAAAAATCCGTTCGAAACGTTCAAAAATCAAGCCCAAACGGGGTCAAAAAGTGCGTAAGCCCGTTTGTTGTCAGTTCATGAACGCTTGTTCATAAAAATTTAACGAAATATTTGGCATGCTTTGCGAACGAATGGGGTCACTTTTAGAACATTTTGGGGTTAATTTGAGAACAAAAAGTTCATAAAAAAACAAAAATAAACAAGATTTCTGGACTTGCCACTTGCTGTTTTTACTGTGCGCCTGGTAGAGATGTATTTAATATTCTTTTTTTTAGTGGTTGAATTATTTTTAATACATGTTATACTTTAGAATTTGTTGTTGTCATATAATTTATTTATTATTAGAAGTACATATTTACATTTGAAATAATATTTTATAAAAACTTACGACTCACGACGTCCTCTCGCGGGCTCGAACCTGGGCTATGTCAAAGGCGGACGGTCTAACAGCTGGACCACGGAACCAATTTTTCAAGCACGGACAAACGGGGCACTAGACTTGCATGTTTTTCGGTCCGGGCAAGAAATAGTTTATGAACAGCGTTCGCAATTTCAGAACCATTGTTCATAATCTGACCACAATCGTTCAAAGCTCAACACTTTTCTGTGACGCGTTCATAATTTTACCAAAAAGTTCATGATTTGACCCCGCGGCGTTCGTTTTTCATGAACGAAAAATAGCGAACGGATTGTTCGTAAATCAAGAAAAATGTTCTTGATTTTTTTCGTTCTTTTTTTTCTGGGTGTATACAATGATTGTAATGTAAAACATCCATAAAACATCCATAGATTAAAAGCCAAGATAAAGAGTTTTGATAAAACCATTATCGATTTAACAACTAAATATACAACTCTTTGATGCAGTTATTTTGTTCTTTTAAATCATAAAACGTCTATGATTCTAAATACTAATATTTAATTTAATTTAGACCATAAATCTGTGGTAATGTATGCCAATTTAGAATACAAATCTGTGCTAATTTTTTTGGTAAATATTCAAAAGCAATTTTATAGCTGCTGAAAGCGAAAACTAATTTATTAGTTTATGAAGCAAATAAAATGGTGGTTTAATTAAAAAACTAGTTTATGGCGAGAAGTGCCTCAATTTATTACAAACTGTGCCAGTTGTTAAACCAAAATATTTTGTTGGCTCTTTCGGGCGAAACGTTGTCAAAAAGTTGTTTCAATTGACCTGTCTTCGCTATTCAAGCGTGGCTAAAAAATACAACCGAATGGCTGAACAAAAACTGTCAGATCCATGACCTACATAAGTACGTCGTGTAACCAAATAGATTGGACGGTTTTCACACGCATATTTTGTTTTTCCATGCACTTTTTTTCTGTTCACCACCGCCCCTGCATTCGCATCGTATGCAAAACCAAAACAAGCAGCTTTCAGATTTTACCCATTTTTTCATTGTTTTGCTAGCCTCTCCAATGGAAACTTTTCCCTGTCCATTTCCTTTTTCGATTTTTTGCGGGCTAGCTAACAAAAGTTCGAATGTTAAATGATTTTCATGGCGCAAACTTTAGCAACCCTGAAACTGCAGCTCGGTCATTTGTTAGCCTGTCAAAAAGGCAAAGAAAAAATGCACAAATAACTCTGGCTGACACGTGAATTTATTGCATTCAAAAATATGAAAAGTTCCATCAAAAGTGCAACAACAGGGTACTACAGGGTACTAGTACAGGGGTCCGAAGCAGCCCCACTCCCAGCAGTTTTTGCACTTGTTCGGCACGAAATAGAAGGGCGGGGCACATCCGCACCCGCATCCGCAGTTGCAGGTGCACTTCATGCAGGGCAACAGGGGACCCACGGGGCCGCAGGTCAGGCGGTACGAGACCACAGCGCAGGGCGGCGGGCCGCAGCATCCTCCGCAGGATCCGCCGCAGGATGCACCGCAGGATCCACCCCCGCAACAGCAACCACCCTCGCCGCAAGATCCGCACCCGGATCCGCAGCCAGATCCGCAGCAACCACCTCCGCTGCAGGGCTTACAGCTGGACCCACAGGGCCCACACGGCGTCCGACATCGTGGCGCCGCACAGCTCATCCCAGAAATTACTTAGTCCCTGCAACCTGTTGCCAAATACTTGCCGCTAAAAAAAGTGCTAAATATTCCGGGGCAATGATGGTAGTCCGCTCACAGCTCCAGGCGCCTATTTAGCACCTTTTTTGTCCGCCACTAGTTGCAGAATCACTTGGGGAAATTTGGCAGTTCCTGTCGATTAAAAGCTCTATCAGTTTCTCTAAGTAATTATAATAGAAATGACATGTAGCTCAAGGATATAGAAATATACAGGTTTTTAGTAACAGGATTTTAATTATTAATTTCGGTTGTACTTAAAAAATTCAACAATAATTCTAAGATTTCCTTTTTATCAGGGATCGCAAGTAAGAGTTACTTTTTTAAAAAAATTGACAAATAAGTTTTATGCACAAATAAATTTGTTGATTTTTATAATAAAAATTGAAGCATAAGAGTTATTTGTCAACTTTTATAATAAAAATTGAAAATAAAGATTGAATTGATATAACTCTTGAACTGTACGGTACATTGGTTTAAAATTTATATATATATAATCTACGCTTTAATACCTTTCTATTGATATGCCATATGTCCCCAAAATATTTTTTATAATAATAATATTTGTTACATCATAAAAAATATTTTGGGGACATATGGCATATCAACAGAAAGGTATTAAAGCGTAGATTATATATATTTAAATTTTAAACCAATGTACCCTACAGTTTAAGAGTTATTTCAATTCAATCTTTATTTTATTATAAAAGTTGACAAATAACTCTTATTTGTTGATTTTTATAATAAAAATTGAAGCATAAGAGTTATTTGTCAACTTTTATAATAAAAATTGAAGCATAAGACTTATTTGTCAATTTTTATAATAGAAATTGAAAAATAAAACTTATTTGTCAATTTTTTTAAAAAAGTAACTCTTACTTGCGATCCCTGCTTTTTATACTCGGATAATATCATTTTAATATTAACCAAGCCTAACTTAGTATCACTCCACATAATTTCCAGAAAAACAATTACATTGGTCATAAGATTTTATTTGCCTTGTGGTCACATCTAAAATCCTACATATGTTGGCTAGGAATAACCAACCGGAATCACCACACTCTATATAGCACCTCCTCTCCTCTGAGTGCTATTTGCACAGTTGACCATGCGTGGGTTTGTCTATTAGCTACTTCCATTCGGACACGCCCTCTTTCCAGACCCTCTGGTCTGTCGGGGGGCTAATGTAATTGATTGTCTCCGCCTGGTTGAATTGGAGGTGGAACAGGAGCGACTAACAGTCTCATCACGGTTCGTAATCCGCCATGTAGATATTTGCATGGCCTGCTGTGCAGAATAAATGTAGTTGTGAGATAATATTACTAGTGGGCAGTGTTTGAAATGCTGAGATATAAGCAGCAAAATCTGTTAAATTTTAGCTTTGGGGTGCTTTGACTATTTGAAAGCCTTACAAAAATAATTTACTTCGGATTTGGCTTTTTGATAAACTTACAGCCAACAGTAAAAGCAAAGCCCGAATAGGCAAAATGCTGGATTTTTGGATTGCCAGCTAGCTGAAACAGCAGCCGGATTTTTGTTTATGTATTTCAAGCTAGCTGAGACAGCAGCTAAATTTCTGCTTTTGTAGATTTTGAAATCAGGCACATATAGTCTGTTTCTGACAGGTTGATTATAGATTAGATTTGCTTAATTTCAATGTTACATTAAATGTTTTTGTTACAGAAAAATATGGTTAAATAGCTTTAAAAAACGACGGATTGCTAGACATAACCCTTTTTATTCATATTCATCGTTTTGAAAAAGCGGCAAAGTATCTATTGCAGCATCTAAAAAATTTGGATTTAACTTGACTAGCAATATGTTTTCCAGTGTTTCTTCACTCAGTCGATTTCTGTTGTCGGTAAGGACCAACTTTAAAGTCGAAAATGCTCGTTCAATAGTAACCTGGAAAAAAAGAAAAGGAAAAAAATATATAGTACTTTAGTTTTATTTAAAGTAGGAAAATATATATTTTTTTACCTGTGTGGGGGGTACCGCAAAGCAGACATTACTAAGAGCATATAATTCTGGATCCGTATTTTGTTTCTCTTTCCAAAAGCTAAGGACATTTGCATCACTTCGCATGGGAGGCAATTGAAGATTTTTGATTTTGGAATATATGTCGTTGGTGCTGACTGTATTACTTAGAATTCCTTGTGCCAAATACTCATCTAACAAGTCATCTTCCATGCTGACAGAAGTGGTATTTAATAATTTTTCACTTTGAGCAGATTCTGAATGAATGTTGCCAGCAGGACTAACATCGTTAAGTCTGTCCCAAAGTGTGTATAAATATTCAATGGCCTCCAATTTTTGATCACCAGTCAATGTTGAATGGAACCGTGGATCAAGGTAAAGACATGATAATAGTACTTTGTTTTCCATCAAAGTTTTTGTTCGATTTGTAATAGACTCCAAAATTTTTCCTCCAATGGTAGACACTAAAATTTGTTTTGAATCACTTATAATTTTGGCAGTTAATAATCTGCATTTTAACCATTGAGCATAAAAATTTCCATAATGCAACTGCTCCTCTTGAAATTTCATGATGCTTTTTTGCAATGGGCTCAGCACAGTATAATAGCTTTCAATGAACTCCCACAAATAGGAGTCTAATTCAAAGTTTTCGTTCTGGTTTTTGTTTTTAATAGACTCGATTTTAATTAGTACTTCCTTGGCTTCCTTCAAATTTTCAATCATAGTATACGTTGATCCCCACCTAGTTGGGCAATCTAGCTGGGGCATTTTCAATGATCTAAGCGTAAAAATGTCTCGATATCCATTAGAATTTTTTCTTATATATTTGGTTAAGTTACGGCAGGTTATTAAATATTTTAATACGTCTGGTGATTTCGTCACATCAAGGGCACAGAGTTGAGCTGTGTGAGCAGCACAACGACACACGACTACATTTCCTACTGACATATTTGGAGTTTTTTCCATTAACTTAATTTTTTCGAGGTATTCATCATTGGTACAGTTATCTTCGTCCTCCTCCTCAGTAATAGCCGACAAAAGTTTTGTGGCCCGGATCATGTTAGCTCCGTTATCCGATGTAATTGATAATATTTGTTTTAAATTGATATCAAACTTTTGGAGGACTTTTAGGACTTCAGCAGCAAGGTTTTTGGCCGTGCTTGCCCCAGCACCTTTGAGCTCTACCATACCCAAAATACGAGACATTATTTGACCATTTGAAATAAATTGAGAACTTATGCCAAAAATGTTTCTGCATAACCTGGTTGCACAGTCTATCTTTAATGAGAGTAACCGGTTCCTTACCTCGTTCTTCATATCAATTCTCACATTTTGTGCAACGGTCGCCAATGTTTTTTTAGCATTGCATGCATTTAGGGTTAGCTTCTTTCCATCTTTTGCGTAAAGTCCTTCACAGATTGGATCCAAAATATTTCTCATGTTTTGTGAATTTAATACATTAAATGGCACGCTGTCATCGGTTACAAGTCCAATATAAGAACGTATTAATTGTTTCTTGCAGATTTTAATGTCAATCTTTTTAGCTCGAGGTTTTTTTAGCCCAATATCTTTTGTTTCCAATTGATTTTTTTTACGTCCATTAACTATTATTTTATGAATATTGGCTAAATGAGCCTTAAGATTGCTTATTTTGTTGGTCCGGAGCTTCTTTTTGCAAGTTTTGCAGATAGCAAAATCTTCACCATCGTGCTTTTCAAAAAAATCCCACAACTCATTTGTGTTCGCAGCCATATCAGAAATGATTTTTTGTTTTTTTGAGATAAATTTATTTAAAACTTTAAAGCAGCTGTTGCTTGGATTTAAAAATCTACAAAAGTCGTAAGTTCGGCTGCTGTTTCAGCCAGCTAAAAATTCAAAAGCAAAAATCTGGCTGCTGTTTCAGCTTTATCAAATTAAAAAGCAAAAATCTGGCTGCTGTTTTAGTTTGAAAAATTTCAAAAGCAATATGTTGCCTTTGATTTGACTTGAAAAATCTACAAACAAAAATCGAAAGCAAAATCCGAATCTTTAAAACATGTTGCTAGATTTTAAACACTGCTAGTGGGCTTTTACAAAACATATTCTAAGTTCAGTCCACAAAAATAAATTATATTGCACTAAAGTACATTTAAATATTGGGTAACAGATAAAAACTTTATTTAGTCAAAAACGAAAATTAAAGATTTCTGAGATGTCGCAAGGAATAAAATTCAATTTCATTTCGGAAATCAATGGTTCCCTTTTTCAAGTCTAGTTATTGTCCTCTTGTGTTCCTTGGTGCCACTCACTTTCCGATTCCGATTTAGCCAGCTTCCATTTTAGGCCAGATTTTCGGAGCGTAGAAAGCCCCGAGGGCGGCGTCGATGAGATTGTCAACAGCTGCCAGAGCAAAAAATCGCCTTTGGTCCCCGTACAGCCAGTCTACTGCAGTTCGCTTTTCACTTCGGTACCAAACACTCGATTTTGTGTCCGCTCCAAGGGCAATAACTAACCCAAAAAAATAGAAAAAATAGTAACAATTTGGAAACCAAACCGAAACAAAGTCAAGATGTGTGGTGGCTGGGCCTGTTGTTCTTACAACCTCGCCTGCTGCAATCCACGCCTGTCGACTCTGCGATTCACGGGGCGCTGCTTCACACCCACGCCCTGCGGTCCAGGTGACGACTGCTCCGTCTACGGATGCTGCGGCGGCTGCTGCGGATGTTAGGTCATCCGCGATGATACATGGAGTGGGCACAGAATCGAGTGGATTCCGGTTTCTCAAAGTAGGCCCTGAAAACCTCAGATTGTCAGCCCTGAAACAAACACCATTCAGTCCTTGTCCTGTCGTTGTCGGAACAACATCAGAAACCTAACACTTCCAGCGGGGTAAGTTTTTAGTTTCTATCGAAACATTTTAAATTAAAAAAAACAATTAAAGAAAACATCACACGACCAGTGATATGGCTGAGCACCCCTGATGTAAATCAACACCTAGTAGATTTTGCTTTCTCCTTTGCTATAATTATATCGTTATAATCCCCTTCCGCATATAGTTCCTTCTTCCATAACCTAACCATGTGCGGTGGCTGGGCCTGTGCCTCCTACGATCTGGCCTGCAACAATCCACCTCTGTCCACCGTTCGTTTCACCGGCCGAGACTTCATACCCACGCCCTGCGGTCCCTGCGATAAGTGTTATGTCCTCGACACGAGCCGCAAGAAGAACACCAACAACTGCTATGTTCCGCACATCCTGTCCCCGCTGGAGGCACAACTTTGTACCCTGGATGGTGGTCAAAAGAAAAAGGAGTAATCAGAATTGATAGTATCTGCCTTCGCATTTCGAGTGCAAGATTAGATCTAAATTAATTAGCAGTACTCAATTAAACTGGAAAGACGGACTAAATAAAATGAAAAATCTACTTTATGAATTTTTTCTTCAAGAAAATTATTTTCTTTTTGGTCATCTAAGATGCAGTTTTTTACCTAGCTAATTTTTAAACAATTTTTTTAAGTCTTTCAGCAGAATAATCAAGAAATCTATGTTTTATGCTTCTTAATGCCTGGGTCCCGATATTGTACTTACAATTTTACGTGTGTATTTAGAAACTAAGTCATTTTGGAGATATTTCTTTAGTCATCTAAATTCACTATACTTAAATTATTTTTAAGCATTAGTTGCCTACTTTATAGATTCCCAGTTGTAGTAAAGTAAAGTTTTCTTAAACACATTAATTTATTGAACAGCTTGAACCGTTGCACAGAAATCAGCAGCCAGGTTCAAACCAAAAGCACAAAAAAATTCCACGTCCTCCGAGGTTAGTTTATTCCAGACTCTGTGATCGCATTTAAGGTCGATCGATGTTCAATAGAAGGGTCCGAAGCAGCCCCACTCGCCGGCGCAACAGCACCTGTTGGGTGGACAGGTCCAGGGACCACAGGGCGGATTGGGGCCGCAGCAGCAGTTGTTGTAGTTCATGGCCGGCAAGGCGGGTCCAACCGGTCCGTAGGCCAGGGCATAAGACACTGATCCACAGGCTCCTTGGCAACACATCTTCAGTGGGTTAACTACAAAAGAAATGCAATATAATAGGTACCACAAATGCAAGCACAACTCACAGTTCGTTTCAGTCGGAGAGGTTTGCTTGAGAAAAAGATTTCTAGTTTTATTTTGAACACGGAATTTTTTCGGACTTTTGGTTTATGTACCGGTGAAAGCGTACGAGCTGTTTACAAAACAAGTGACTAGACTGGAATGAGCTGACTTCGGGGACGGGAGCATGGGGCCAAGGGAATTCCTTCTCAGGGCCCACTTGATGTGGAGAAATTTAAAACCAGCCAGAAAGGCAGAAACGGAATCAAAGTGGGCTACAGAAACTGCCTTGAAAATCGATCAAAGTCAAGTTGTTGTTGTTGAAGCTGGTGCTGCTGCTCTCCTCCTGGCAGAGCTCACAAATTTCACACATCAATGATTTAACATCGGAGCGACAAATAAAAAAAATTGAATTTCTCTAACGACAAAACAGCAGCGCAACAGATTCGCCCCTCTGGCAAAAATAAGAAATCATTGAAACATGTCTAAAAAAAAATACACGACGTCGACTACTCTGGGGAGAATAACACTAGAACATCAGCAAAATATCAAAGGATGGGTGAAGAGATGCCGAAAGGATTTTACACAAGACCCGCTCTAAACTGGGGCAACGGCAATGTCGAGGCAGACACGAAGGTCTATTAGACTCAACGAAGCAACCTTAACGTTATTTTCCAGCTTCCTTTGCTTTTTCGGGGGGAAGGTTAATGTAAGGGCATGTGTGTGTGGGCGGGCCAGGATATAGGATGAAGGATAAAGGATATATAGGATACGGGGACTCGTGTGCGTCTGCGGGCGTTGTGATTCACAAAAGCTGACAAGCTCATCGATCCCTGAACATTAGCTAAACATAAATTACACAGATGACTGCACAACAATTGAGGCGTTTATTATAATGTGTGTTCACACTTGAGGCTTTCAAAAGATGCACTCACAGCATATAGGGAAAGACTTTGGGCCAGGAAGATTTAACTTTTACTTGCTTAAATGGAGTATTAAATATTGATTGAATTTTGGGTAATGGCAATTGTTTTAATATCTTCAAGCGAATAATTTGAAACATGTTTAAAGGGAGGATAAAAAGGGGATTACATAAAAAAATAAACATTTAAAATATCCTCTTATCTATTTCGAAGTTGTCTATTAACAATAACCCCCATCTGCATTTAACTAACCCTCTTTTGTCTAAAAGACAATTCCTCCAAAAACTCCTTACAGTTTATATTGACAATGAATCTTTGGCTGTTTGGCTTTCTATTGGCGCACATAATTTATTCATTCAACTTCTTTAAAAAGCAATTTACATCGATTTACCTAACAACCCTACCTAACAAAAAGAAAAACCGCAGACCCCCCAGACAGTTAAAAACTATTGCGAAACTCATTTCTGTGTAGGGACAAAAAAGGAAGCTCGGCTTCAAGACTGCAATTGAGGGTTCTCCGAAAAACCCAACACCCCACTTAAGATAATCTCATTGGTAGAATGCCAAAAACTTATCCCACCCCCCTTCCACGTCCCTGACAAACACACAGCGTATAAAAATGTCACCACAGGGGAAAAAAGAAAGCGACAAGAAAAAGAAAAACAGCAGGGTAAACAAGAGAGGCTTCAACTAAAAAAGGTATTTCCTTTTAAATCAAATACAAAAATTTCTGCCGGGATTCCAATGCCACTGCCTCTTTTTCTCGTTTTTCCTCCCGTTTTTTTCCTTTTTATCCAAGTGGACACGATGGGCACTTCATTTCACTCCAAAAACATATTGAGCCGGGCCACTTGAGTGTGCGCCAAGAGATAAGCGCAATTATATGGCTTCCACTCCCTGGATCCGGACATAAATGGGGGACCGCAGAGACCTCAGGACAGGGGACATTGGTCGACCGCCCAGAGTAAACTGTATAAATTAGGTAAAAAGAGAACTTAACGTTACTTATGTGACACGGCCTTCATTGAGACAAATGTGGGGTCTTTAAGTGCATCGTTTTTGTTCTATTTTTTGCCTGCCCTTCGAGCGCTTTAAATTTATTTGCCACGGCTACTGGGATGCCCCGAAAAAGGTATACAAAAGATGTTGTGAAATTCCTGCGAACTCTGGCATCTCACATTTTGTCCCTGGTCAAGTGCTCGTTATGGGCAATTTCTGCACAAACTGCTTTCTGGGTGCTTTTGTTTTACTTTCTTGTTTTCTGCTGACCGCATGCTGAGTGCGGCCCTGCTCTTCTATTTTGTGTGGGCCTCAAGCTGAAGGGCCTTTGTGGCCGATGCCGATCTCAAAAGAGCCAACTTGTCAAGCATCGGTTTTCGGGGCAACGCTCACAAGTGACCATTGAAAAGTTTACACTGCGAAGTTGTCAATATGTAGGAAATATCCTTGAGTGCTGCTTATTACAAGTTGGCAGAAGTTTCTTTTTTCGACCACCCACTGCCCCCCATTTTTAGGCAATTCATGCATCTTTGCGGGCAAAGGAAGTGATATTATTGGATTTTCGAGAATGTAAAGTGAACTTTTCTTGGTTTTCGACTATTGGACAACAAATAAAAGATATTTGGAGTATACCTAATTTCAATTAGGATTTCATATTTTTTAAGCCATCAACAAAAACAAAGTCAAATTTTGACTAATTTTGCAAGTCAAAAATCAAAGAATCTCAATCTAATTTGATTGCTTGCCAAAGAAAAAAAAATTTTAGATCGTCTCAAAAATTATGCTCTGCAATATTTCTACCCATTCTGCGTTACTCCTTTCTTTATGGATAACTCTTTAAAAAAATACTCTACCAATGGAAAAAATACAAATGGAGAAAATAAAACGAACTTAGTAAATTAATGTTAATGATTTAATAATTTTTTTTATTAAGAATTATAACAGATATTAATAATATCTAATATTCAAATTTTTTAATAATCTAAAATTTAATATTTGAATATTCTTATATTAATTAAAATCTAATATTCATATTTTTAATGATTCAATTTCTTGCTGAATTAATAAGAATTAAATGCTAATATAGGGCATTCCTAAATTTTAGTAATCGCTTAAACTCTTGGGTTTTTTTGGTTGTTCGCTTTCCATTTGAAGTACAAAATATTTTTCGTTTATTTACCCAACGCCGCCCGCTTTCCCGCCTGTCGTCTCCTTGGCACCGTTGTCGTCTACAGGATACTCCCGCCTCCACTCCTTCGAGCTCGAACTGCTGCCTTTTGGTAAGTTCCACTTGGTCTGGGCTCTGAGTCCCCGAGTATTCAGGGTTTTTTTGTGTGCTATGTGCTCTGTGCACTCAGAAAAAAAATCGCCCTAAATTTTAGAAAATCGCCATACTTTGAAAATCGCCTTGAAATTCAGAAAATATTTCTATTTTTCAGAAATATTTTTCTAAATAATAAGAAAAACTTACCCTGATTAGATCAACTCCTCTTGTTATCCACTTTTAGAAAAATTTTCTGTTATTCAGAAATTTTTCTTTCAAACTAAGAAAAAATCGCCTTACATTTTAGAAAATTGGCCCAATCGGTAGCCTAGGGGTCTAATGCGAGCGGATTATTTGTTTTCTACGCTTATATTCGGAAGCGTGTGTTCGATCCCACGTCGAGGCGGACATTTTTTGCGTCTTTTTTTTTTTTTTTGCGCATTAAAATGTATACTTTAATACAAATAAGGATTTAGGTAAGCTAACACACACATAATGGATAAATAAGAGTATAAACCTAGAACCCAAGAGAACAGAATGAGAAAGTACTTTGTACAGCGCTCCTCGTGATGCTTCCCTGGCGCAGCTAGTAGAGTGTTTGACTGCAAACTGTGAGGTAAGGGGTTCGAATCCCGCGAGCGACCAAAATGTTTTCCTCAAGATAGTAAGTTATTTGATTTTTATGTTTATCATTAATAAATAATATAATAATTTCAGTTATTATTTCAGTTACAATTAAAGATTAAAAGTGTGTTTGTGTACAAGCATCGTGACGTCATCCATGTGTTTAAATAGAGGAGAGAAAAATAAGTTGAGAAACGAGAACCCCAACAACAACACCCCAACAACAACACCCCACACCGACAGACTCCACCCAGTCGGCATAACTCCCGATTCCCCGATTTTTTTTTTCTTCTTCTTATTCAATTTTGCAAAAACTAACCCTAAATTTAAGAAATTTTTTTTTCTAATTTTTAGAAATATTTTTTCTAAAAGGCAAGGCGAGCTGCCTTTGGCTTAAAAAGTATGGCGATTTTCTAAAATTCAGGGCGATTTTTTTTCTGAGTGTGCTATTTCTTTTCTAAGCGCTTTGCCATGCGGCGTCAAACGTCGGGCGCCAATCCTCATGTGCGTGGGTGCGTATGAGTGATTCTTTTTCTTTTCGCTCCAAAACCAACCCCCCTCTCTCGGTTCATTCGGTTTTTCTTCGCTTCTTCGTTTTTCGTTTGGTAAATGCTGCGAAACATAAAACATCAAATGTAAATTGAAAGTCGTTCGTGTGTGAAACTGAATGTGTCATCAGTTGAAGCGTTTATCATTTTTTTTTTTTACTGCTTTTCGTATTCGTTTTTAGCTTCATCGACCCCTCGGCGGAAGATGAGGGTTTTCTTTAAGAAGTTTAGATTTTATTTGCCGGCGTGTCAAGTTGCCTTTAAACGTTTTCCTGGCTAAGTTGTTTGCCAGCCGGAGGAATGTGCGGAAAATCCCAAGGGAGTGCGAGGCACTGACTGCGCACTGTCTTGTAAAATCTTTTATTTCCGTCCCCCAAATTTTGAGATGTAAATATGAATATGAATTGGAAAATATGAATGAAAGAAAAATATGTGAGTTGAAGCGAATGTAAAAGTATTAAAATTACTATTTACAATTGAGTTGCAGAAGCATCCTTTTTTCTTAGATTTCTTTGTCTCTCGATTAGCATGTCGAAATATTTAGTTTTTGCTGTCCATTAACAGTTCAAATATTTAAAATGTGACCTCAATTTTAATAGCCCAGCATTTCAGATTTAATCGCCTGATTTCCCAATTTATGTGCATCAAGTGTCAAGAGTAAAAACTAACTTGGCAAAATGCAGCCTCTGAGAAAAACCATCTAAGCAAAGAGAAAAACGAGAGCAATTATTGTTTCTTTTACGTGCAAATTATTTGGAAATTAATTGAATGCTACGAAACCTATAGCACATTTTATTTGCAACTCGAACTTGGTTCCTTTTCCCTCCCGATTTTCGTACTTTCGTATTTGCCATGCAAATGTCAAGCTCAAATAAAACAATGGCTGGGAAAATGCTGGTGCAACAACGACAGCTGCCAACTGGAGCTGTGGTTGCCCTTAGTCAAGTTGTCGCCTTTTCCCCTTTTTGTTGTTGCCACTGGGTTGCTGTCTGGTGGCACTAACTTCATGTCAATCCTTTTGTGGCTTTGCCGGTCGTTTAATTTGAATTTAAAATGTTATCCCGCCAAATGCAATAGACACACAGCCCCCCTGAAGCCCCGCCGCCCCTGTCAAGCCCGGCACTCATTTTCCACTTATTTACAATTACCACATTTTATTATATCCCCCTGCCAGCCAGCCAGCACTTAACCATTTTATTTATACCCCTGTTTATATTTGTCACACTTTTGTCTTTGTTCCAGCCACCCACTCTCCATTTTCCAACCCCCCAACCTTCATGGAAGTGGACCGTTTTTAACTGCATTTTTGTGTGTCTGTCAAATCCTGCTGCCTTCTCCCCACCCGAAAATCCCCTTTCCTCTCCAAACCTTGCAGATTTCGATTGTATTTTTGTTTATTTTGTTGCAATTTTAATTACTTTAATGAAAGTTTTAATTGCGAAATAGCAAAAACGCACCGAGCGACAGAGACAGCCAGTGCAAAGGAGCACACAAAGGCGGTAAGGAGGGCGAGGAGCGAAGGGGGGTCGTAATGAGTTTTTGCGGTCTAAGAAAGGTTGGCAGCTGCACGGCAACGATGACGTGAGCACACCCGACCAGGTGAAATTCTATGCCACGTGAGTTTCAGGGAGAAAGGGTTGCGGGAATTACGAGAACAATGGCTGATGTGCTTAATTGACCTATTGGTGCCAGGAACTGCCTATAATCAGCAGAGATTTTTATAATCAATCAGTGATAGTTTTACATCGTATTTATTAAATTAATCACAAACTTACCATTAAGTCTAGTATAGGTATAGGTACATAGAATACCATTTTTTTGTAATTTAGTAATGGATGTATAATAATAATAATAAACTAAACATGGGATAATATATATACTTTGAAGATCCTGAGTTAAAATTCGACTTGATACTTGAACAAAAGAACGTTAAAAAAAAGTTTACATACATTAAGAACTGTTTTAATTTTTTTAAAAATATTTTTTTTTTTTTTTTTAAACTTAAATTCTACTAGTAACGTTTTTAAATCTTAGAAATATCAACCAACTCACTTATCTACTACTTATTTCCCAAGTTAAATGAATCAATAATTTAGATACAGTCAAAGCAACCAACTGATCAGCTGTGAAGCGCACATTTTGCCACATATGTATTACGTTAATCTGATGGAAACACTTTGATCTGCTCGTAATTGCAGTTGGTGGTTTCATTCATTCAAACACAGAGTGGGTGACATTTGCATATATGCACATGCATGCTCCACTTGACCCACAAAACTGGGCTAGCAAATCGGCACAAAAATGTTTGTCATACTGGGACTCCAACTTCACTTCCTCGCCCGAACCGAGAATGAAATAAATTGTGCAAACAATTCGAATACCACAAGGTATCAAGGCAAATGAAATAAGTGAGCCGTAACCAAGTAGGAGTAGGGATACAAAACAGAGTAAACCCAAACGAAAATAGAATGGAAATCAGCAGGGCCAATGAACTGCATGAGATGCAAAATCTGAAAAGATAGAATAGGAAGGCAATATAAGAGACATTTTACTTACAATACATTACACATTGCATAATGGAATCGGTGACTTACAATGAAAATACAAGACATTTGAAACGAATTCGCTTTGCATGTTTCCTATGCCTCGGGAAAAGAGATTACTCACGCAGGAAAATCCCAGTATTGTTTTCTTTGTCCCAGGACATTTTATATTGAAGAATGGCAAAACTAAGCTTTTTGTTTTGCAAAAAATTAAATAAAATAGAAAGCCTACTGTTAAAATATTAAAGCCCTTCAAGTTATATTTTCAGACCAATTGCTCTTTAAAAAAATTGTACTTTGGCCATTTTCACGTTTGGTTTCCCGCTTTCCTTACTTTTACCCGTGCATCATTAAAAGCACTCGCCGTCGGTTGGGGCCCATAAAATGCATTAATGCTTTGCATGCTGTGCCCAAACTGCAAAGTCCAAGCTTAAAAGGATACATACACAATTATGTACGCTTGCCTTTATGTGTTTTCAGCAGGGAGCAAAGAAAAAGATACGCAAAATTGCATTTTTGGCAACAAGCTTTTAATTGCATTTTGTATGTGCTCATTACCTTAAATGCGGTGTGAGGGCAATCTTCCTTCGCAGTGCTCTACCCTTAAGTTTGTTTGTTTTTCGAATGTTTTGGCATTGGTAGCAAGGCTGAATGCCAAACTTATTTGCAAAAAGACAATTTTGAATAAAAGAAAAGAGCTATAATCGTGAGTCGACTATCAGATACCCGTTACTCAACTAAAGAGACCGCGAGATTCCGGAGCGCCACCTAGCGGTGATTACATTATTTGACCTGAACCGATTGGAAACATTTTTTAAGTGCCGGCTTGTATAAACAAATCAACTAAAATATAATTTACACTGAAAAAAATCGCAATAAAAGATAACTTTAATTATATGTTTAATCGTTCGATTAACTTTATCACCCATTAAGGAGTATACAAAAATTTCCTTTTTTGAAAGGCCAAAAAAGGGTGTAAGTGTATTTGTGTCACTTTTGTTTCAAAAGAATATAAAACTGGCAAGAACGAAAAGAAAATGGCCAAAAGCGAGGCGGCTGACGAAAAAACCGAAAAGGGAAAAGAAGTTTTTACGACATAAACAAGCAAATGGAATGAAGCACATGTGTGTGTATGTAAATGCCAGTGGGTGTGTGAGTGTGTGAATTTTATTTAAATGGGAAATAATTAAACTGCGGATTGAAGTTTCGCTTGGTTTCCTATTTTTTTTGGCAAAGTGGAAAGACAATTAGGAAATGCTCGTTTAAACAGAGAAAGAGGGGATCAGTATGGTATAAAAGGAGTGGGAAAATAATTCAAAGTTCTACAAGTACTATATAAACAAAAAAATGGCTAAACGAAGCTATCGTAGTTACTGACCTAAAATAAATATTTTAAAAATTTCAGGTGAAAAACACATAAAATCATAAGTCACGAAAAAGAATAAATAATTGTTGAAAAAATATATTTTATCTCACTCGATTATATCAATTATATCCCATATATTTTACACAGTGATTTTAGGTATTTAACGAATTTTTTTCCACTGGACACTTTTTCTCGTACTTCCCTTCTTTATATTTTTTCTGTGGATTAAGTTTTTGCCCCGGCTCTTAATGCTATTATTTTTCCATTTGCTCAGTGCAACACACCCACGGATTAGTGTTCAAATGAAATCGATTTCAGAGTGTGTGTTTGTTCTGCTTCTGTGTTTGAGGCGATTTTTAATTAAAGTACTGCAGTTAATTGCATTAATCACTGTATTTGCCAAGAGCGCTGGGGCATGCACATGGTGCTGATGCCATCAAATAGAACTGGAACTCTGAAGCGCAACACTTAATGAATTATTTAACTGAATTTTGCTCAATTATTTAATGGGCAATCAAAAAGCAATGAAGTTTAGCAAAGTTTTTGTTTCGCAACTCAAATGGTTGTAATTTAATATTAATGAGAATTGTTATCCTAAATGAGTAACGTTTTCAATTTAATATTTAAATCGAAAGCGACTATAATTGTAAAAATTATATAGATTTAATAAAAATTATATATTTTTAGTTTTGCATTTGCAATTATTTCAATTTTATTGCCGATAAATTTAGTCTAATCATAAACTTAAATGTTCTTACAATTGCAGCTGTGTGTTTGCCTCTGAGTAAACCATATCTACAAAACTCAGAAATAGGCCAAATTCAATTGACATTTATTGGCCAATATATATTTATAAGGCCCGAACGGAAGGACGTAAAGCAAGATCCAGAAAAGAAAAATAGAAAAAGGAGAAAGGAAAAAACGTCCCCTACAGAAAAATAGTAAAACTATCTATTTCAATGCCGACGACGACTATTCCGACGACCCATCACATGCAAATGGCCAACAAGTGGAGGGCGAAGAAGGACTGCGGGTTCCAGGGGCATGGATATGTAGCCCCAAGTGGGCGTGGTTGCGTCTGCTGGATATCCCTGATGCTGCTCCTCATCCTGGTGCCTGGTAAGTGAATTATAAACCGAGCGAGTCCAAATCACAGCTAAGTCAAGTGACACAAAGTCGAAGGACGACAAAAACTTTGATGAGATATCTCAAAAAGTTGCGCAAAGCCTCCAAATATAAATGACAGCCGTCCAGGCTGACAGACGAGAGTCCTAGATGAGTCCCCGACTTTGGCGATAATTAATTTTTAAGCCGCGCAAAATGAAGCGAGGACAAGTGGCCGAAGTGGGTGGGAAAAATGCGGAAAAGCGGGTGGCGGCGGGTGGGGAAAAGCTGGCTAAATGGAGCGGCAAGGACAGCGGAAGACGAAATCAATCGTTCGTAAAATAAACAAATCTTATTTTTCCGCAAACATTATTTCTCATCAGCCGAAGCGGAGGCGAAAGCACATTCAGCAAATGGCAATAAAAACAAAAGATCTGCGATGACAACAACATTTTTCATAAATACGCGCATTCATCTGCATGAAACGATGGCCAGAAAAAGAGGAGCCCAGGAAGCAGTTAAATAATTCGAGGGTGGCTCTAAATGTTTGAAAAATAGTGTATTTGAATCAAACATTTACTTACCAGTTTTTTAAACTATTTCGTACTTATCAATACCAAATATTTTTATAATACATTTTATTATATATTTTTTATGAATTTAAATATTTAATCCTTTGTTGTCTCTGACAATTGATATCCTAACTTTATTAAGTTTAAAAATATTAAACATAATAATACATTTCATAAGGCACTTCTTAAACTCTTCAAATACGGCAGCTTCTTCGATTTCTGATTGAGTTTAATCGGCCTTCAAGTAATGAAAAAATAAGAAAGGTTACCAGGCGACTAATTCCTTGATCCACCCAATTTCAGTACTCAACAGATTCAACTCATTGAGCTTTTCTTCTCCTCTCAAATGCTACCATCCAACCGCAACAAGACCAAAATGATGATGTTGCAAAAGAAACTGCGATACTAAATATCCAACCAATGCTTCTGACTGCCATTTTTGCTGGCTATATTCATTTTCCTTCTTTTTTTTTTGTATGGCCAAAAGGCGCGAGCGGGACAATGTGTAAACAAGCAAAACAAAAAGGCAACTTAGGGCCAACTGCGGGGGGAAAGGATATATAAATAAAGATATATAGAAGGGACGAAAGCAATTGCTGCCTAGAGACGGAGAATATATATTTCATAATTTTTTGCGTGATGAAGTCGCATTTGTTGGGATTAAATGAGATTTTCTTGCAATTACCGAATGTGTGGTTAGGGCGCAAGTTTTATTTATTTTCCCCCCATTTTCCTTTCGCCTCTGCGCAATCACCCAGTACTCTTCGAAATTACAATTTTCAGTTGGCTAGCAGCTTAGCCGAAAAACATTCTCTGGCCTCGCTTATTGATTCGAAACTTTTTCCGATTGCTCCAAAGTTGCCTTTTCAATTTCGCCACAGATCGATCGATACTTTCTAATTTATGCTAAACGCACACAAAAAGGGCCTGTCGAAGGGAAAGTGCTTGCCGTGACCAGCCTTTTGAGGGCCAAACAATAAACAATGCACACTGCATCCCCGAATGTGGGGATTAAGTGGAAAACTCATCGGACCCTCGAGCCCCAAAAAAAGGGAAAACTATTCCATTCATTTTTGGCCCAGCCCAGCACATGCAACATGTTAGGAAGCCCTCCTCGCAGAACAAAGGCCAAAATTGGCTATATCCCTCAATATAGGTTTGCCTGGAAAAAGTTTCTTCTCTGCGGGCAGCTTCAATCACAATGGAAAGGCAGCAGCAGCAGCGACTGAGCAAGAGATACGTTTTCAATTTTCCAGAATGCACAAAAGTCAGTTAACATTCTTCAACGGCATCATCATCATCGCTATCGTCATCATCATCCTGATCATATACCACATATCACGCATACGCCCTGGTGTGCCTGAGCTTTATCAGCCTTTCGCTGGCAGGCCTTCTGTTTAGCATCTCAGGTCCACTCAGAAAATAAATTATATAATTAAAAATAAAAAATCTAAAAATTTTTCTATTTCGTATATAAATTATAAAATTGAACGTTTGTGAGCACGGAAGTTTACTTATTGCCTCTTTAACTTGCTTAATTAAATATAAATAAACCGCAAAAAAAGAAAGTTTTCTTTGAGTGCACCTCACATGCATATAAGCCCGCACAGAAACTCCCTCATACACTCCACTTTGCATATCACATGAACTTGCACTTTGGATTTTTTGTTTTTGCTATTTCGGCAAGACAGCAGGTGGATGCAGGAATTAAGGCACTGGGAGCTCTTCTGCAGGGGGAGTAGGGATGCGAGATGGAGGACCAAAGTTTGAGGGGCTCTGGCGCTGAGTCGTCTTTGTCTAGCAGACATTGCCGTTTACTGTCCTGACATTCCAACTTGGCTGCAATGCAGGCAGGCGGCTGACGTGCCTTTTGTCAGCATCCGACTATTGCGTGAAGAGTGCGGTTGATGTCAGTCAGTTTGTCAGTCCGTCGAGCAGCAGAAGGTAAAAATATTTTCGTAATCTGATGGCTAATGCGGTTGAACTATGCCAACGATTCTCATTTTACTTAGGGAAAAATATGGAATTACAAAGGAGTTACTTGTTAGTTTGTTTTTACTATTTTCTATATAGTTTAGGAATAACAAGAGAGAACGCTATAGTCGGGTTGTTGTCCCGACTATCTAATACCCGTCACTCAGCTAAAGGGAGTGCGAACGCTGTGTCGGGTTGGTGTCCCGACTAATAATCGTAACTCAGCTAAAGGGAGTGCGAGGGAGATAGATATATAAATTTTGATTGCGTATAACTTTTTAATGAATGGTCCGATTTGAAAAATGTCTTCTACATTTCGATAGGTATAAATATACACAACAAAATTGCAGTTATACTTCTCGGAAATCTTTAAAGATGTGGGCGCAGGACCCATTTTAAAATCGTTAGTGGGCGATTGTGGGCGTTAGAGGGGGCGTGGCGCTCGGCTAAAATAAACTTGCGCTGCGTAGGAAGCCAAAGAATATGTGTGGGAAATCTCAACCTTCTAGCTTTTGTAGTTTCTGAGATCTCAGCGTTCATACAGACGGACAGACAGACAGACAGACAGACAGACAGACAGACAGACAGACAGACAGACAGACAGACGGACAGACGGACAGACGGACAGACGGACATGGCTAGATCGACTCGGCTAGTGACCCTGATCAAGAATATATATACTTTATGGGGTCGGAAACGCTTCCTTCTAGCTGTTACATACTTTTGCACGAATCTAGTATACCCTTTTACTCTACGAGTAACGGGTATAAAAAGTAGAAAAACTATACATTCGTATATTGGGTTCAACCAAATACAAATTGTTAAAAGGCTATCATTAAAATTGCATTACTCAGTAGAAAAAACGTAATTTAACTAATCATAAATATCATATATCCTTCAAAAGTTATTACATTGGCTATCAGCTCAAATTACCTTAAATTAAACTGCTTCATAAATAAATTTGACTCTTCCAAAATGAGAAATATTCGAAATCCATAGCGTTTTCATTGTCCATTGCATTCGTGCAAATTAAATCAGCTCTCTCATCAAAATGGAATCCATCCAAATTGTACATATATCGCAATTGAAAATTAATATGCCGGCTCTGTTTTGTAATCCCATAATGTATATCAACTTCAAAGTGGCCTACGCACGTTATAGCCGGTTGAGCTGCACTTAAAAGTGTTTTATTTAAAAAAATTGCATTTAATTTGCACAATGCAAAAACAGAAAAGAAAAAAAGTGCAAAATATTGCCTTAAAATGCAATTTAATACGTACTATTTGCACGCTGGGGATGGTGTGGCATAAAAGATTATGAAATATCATCAAAACGATGTGAAAAACTGGCTTAAAATCTCCTCCATACACGATACATATAAATATATATAAATGCAACAAATTTGTTGACAGAAACCAGGCGACCAACAACAATGAAGCCCCAACAAGATGGTCAATGTACCCGTAGAAATTTTATTCTTTTCTGTCCTTTTTTTGTTTTTTTTTTGGGTATGAAATATGAGTCAAGTTTTCAATGCATGCCGGATGCATTCATTATGCCGTTGACGAGAGGTTCCCAGAGTGGGAGGAAGTGAGAGAGGATAGTGTGGGAGTGAGACGGACATGCAGAGTGAGCGAACACACATGTATGCTATTATAGAGTGTTTTTTTTTGCTTTTTTACATTTATGACAAATGCATTGCACTCACAAAGCTCACACATACACGGGCTCTGTCGCAATCTTTATGATCTCATGCATATGTATGCGTTTATAAATGCCACGATACTGTCGACGAGAAGAGTAGGATGTCCGTTCTAAAGAGGACGCTCTTTTTTAAACCAAAATGGTGGTCGTTTTTGGCCAGCACCCGCTCCCAAAAAGTAACCATAATTATATTTTAAAATGGTGGGCTACTAGAAAAAAAACGGGACAGTATTTTTTTTTGTTATTATTACTTACAAATATATTAGTGTGTACAAAAAAATTAATTTTTTAAGTATAAAATTATCTTTATAGGTTCTCGGTTAATACATTCCCAAAAAAAAGTTTAATAAGTCTTAAAATAAAACAAATAAATAAGATAACATTCCATCAATTTAAATCACTTTTTATAGCTAAAAATTGCATACAGATTGCATAATGAAAAATGCTTCGCATACAATCTGAATTTTGCAAAAAATACTTCGGAAAGAGAGTGATTGAGGAATGGCGAAGTAGAAAATAAAAAAATGAAAGAAACGGTCTTAAAAAAAAGGTGTTGAGAATGCCAAGTCACGAGAGGCGGCACTTGGCAGAAAGGAGTTTGCTAATTTTCTAAGACATCAATTCAGGGGGAGCGATGAAAGTACGTGTGACAATGTCAGACCCCCTTTTTTCTTTATTTTCCTCTTTTTGCCACCCAGCCACGCAGCGTTTTTTGCGCTGATTTTTGGCACGCACACATTTTGCATACTGATCAGCAATCAGTGG